TATATATATATATATATACTTTGGCAAGAGTAAAAATTGAATAAGTCATCTTTGATATTGTAAATAGTCAAAATTTAGGTGATATTAAGTTTAAAGTGCCTAAATAGTTTCCAATATTTACATGAGGCGTTTTAGTCTCATATTTTATAAAAGAGCTCAAATAATCGTCATACTCTTTAAGTTAGTGTTGAAACCCAACTCTTCAAACTAGGGCTGAAAATAGAGTTCAATTTTAAAATAGTCATGAACTATTTTGACACTTTTATATAGTCTATAACTAAAACAATCATTTACAAATAGTTGATGACTATCTTGACACTATAAAGTGACATTAATATAATTATCTTAGTTAAGCACAATATTAAAGGTTTATCCAAAATTTTAAATACATGCAATCATATATAATATCATAATCTATGATTTACTGAAATATAAAACAATAATTACACACGAAATGTCTGAAACATTGATATTTATAAATCAAACATCCATTCTAATTTTTTGAAATATTGAACTGATATATTTTCGTATGTCCCAATCAAATCATTAGATTTTGACAACAATAAAAAAGCATGCATTGTGCTTTAACATTAATTTTGATATTTTATTGACAAGGTTAAAATCAGATAAAATAGCGTGCCTAATTTGTAAATAGTAATGTTTTGGGGGGCCATATGTAAAAATTTGTCCCATTAACCCTGTGGAGGATGAGGACAAGAGGATAATGTATCGCTTATCCACACCGAGTCGTATTCCATGTTCCAATTTTCAGTAATACGTCTATAAAAATCCAATTTTTGGAATTGCCGGCTTTCTTCTTCTCTGATCTCTTGGGCGTAAGAAAGGGGAACAAACGCATAAAATGCTTAGAAGCTTCAATGCAAATCGATCATGGAGGAGGGGAATTCAACTTCCCTCTTTGAAACCTTGGCAGAGATGGGCGCCACTTAGCTCCGCTGTACTCCCCGACGGCGTGGACCGGAGCTCAGAAGCATTCGCTCGCAACTCAGCCACCGCCGAGAGCCTCCTTTCCCATCTCCGGTCACACATTCAGAAGGTTCCTCTGAATCCTGCCGTTGATCCCTTGTCGATTGCGATTTGGTGAATGAGTGACTGAAGTTTTTTCTATATATATATATATTCTGTGTTTTCTAGGTCCTCGATGGAGGGGGAGCCGAGGCTGTGAAAAGGAATCGAAGCCGGAATAAGCTATTGCCCCGGGAGCGGATCGATCGACTTATCGACCCTGGGTCGTCTTTTCTGGAGTTATCACAGGTTAGTCTTTTTTTTCTCTGATAGTATTCTCTGGCTGTTCTGTTATGGGTTTCTCATTTTTGCTTCTGTTGTCTACATCAGATTTTAGTGAGAATGAATCTCTTATCACAATCCTATGTGGGATGATCATGTGCTAGCTAAAGATATTTTGCTTACTCGAAAGATCAATTGTGAAGTAATTGAGCCACATGCTCTCCGAATGATGTACTTGGCTTATATTTTCATAAATGGAAGGAGGTTAATGGTACTTTGACTGTTTGAAAGTCTTATGGGTGTATAGTTTTTAATGTTAACTCCAAAACTATGCTTGCATGATTTCCTTGGATGCTGGAGGCCAAGTGGGATGTGATAACTTTTCGAACGTATGGCATGGAGCTCAATCACATTAACAAAGAAAGCTCCTTTTAGGCAATATCTTTCTTTGTGTTGGTGGAGAATTGAATCTGTGGTTGAAGTTTTGAGATAGGTGGTGATGGTGGTCGAGTCATTCATTACAATTTGTGCAGTTAATTAGGAAACACGAAGTTTTATCAAGATTTATGGTTGTCAATTTGTGTTTGGATTGTTGGATAAATGTCATTTTGGTTGATGAATAGACTGACATGAATCTTGAAGCTTGAATATCAAATGGCCATAATGTTATAAAGATTGAATCTTGAAGCAAGGAATCATATATCTTAGATCCCCATCAGCCTATATGAATCTCCTTATGGGCAACAAGTTTTATCTACTTGTTGCTTGCAGATCAAATCCAGCGTAAATACTTGTGGAATAATTTGAAAGGTGGATCTTCATTCTCCGAGTCTTGTCTTAAACAGTTATTAGTGGTTTAGACTACTTTCATATTTCCAAGGTCAGTGCTTTGTCCAAACCTTGATAGACGATGATCATTATCCTAGATTTTTGAGATTAGATGATCCAATATTCTTAATGCCCATAGTTTGGAATTTTATCCATGATAATTTTGTGAAAAAAATATTTATAAGTTTGTGATAGCAGTAGATGATAGGTTAATCAAATGAAACTTAACATTTTTAAAATTTGACATTTTGCGTTGTACTTGACTATGGTTATCAGGAACCGACATTTTTAATATGGAACAGGTGTCATCTTAGTTACCATGGGGTGCCTCATCCATTCTTTTTTCTGCCTACCTGTTAAATCATTTGCCATTTATTTTTTGTTTTACATTTGCAACGTCATGTTTTATTGATGCAACTTTAGCATTATGGTTCATCACCTATTAAAAAGAAAAAGGGGGACTTACATACATACCACCTAAGGCGGTGTAAGGATGCAAAGTGGATTTACGTTAAATAGGATTTATCAAATCCAGTAAATCCGGCGAGCTCGTGACGGAGATGGAGGTCGCAAGCAACGACAAAATAAATCTTTTAAATCCACCTCTCAGTCGGATTTATTAAATCCGAATCTACGTTGCAGAAGAGATGAAACACTGTTCGATTTAGCAGAGCGTTGAATTTAAGTTTCTTTTTTTTTGTGTTGGGTTAGATTTAAGTTAAATTCATGGCTAAATCATCATAGAAATATGCTACCAAACACCCTCTAAAACTGACATTTTTACTTATCTAACACTAAACTCTATTATTTACATACCAACTACCTAAAATTTCCTAGGTACTCAAATATACCACTGACGCTGTTTGCAGTTAACTTGTCGTTTTTCTCATGCCAGAAACTTTAAGTTCTCTCCTTTTGACGCCCGGTTGCTGCTTCTTTCCTTCCTCCTCTTCTGAATCTCTCTGTTTGTCGATGTGTTTGTCTGTGCCAAGATCTCCTCGTTAGTTCGAAAAGCCCTCAACCAGCCGCACAATTATGCCAGAATATATCGATCTCCTTGTCGGTCTGTGGGGAGGCTTGAGGCCTCTGGTGGCTAAATAGATACCAGACATGGAGATGTATAGTGTTGAGGCCTGAAATTTGCCGAACGTCGGCGGGAGTGACGGTGGAGCCCATGGTGTTCATGGTGGATGCCAAAGCGGTGAGGCCAGCGAAGAAGTCGGTTTCGCCAACTTTGTTTGATGATTTGCAAGTGAAACCATCCACCTTAATACTTGTTTTGTATACTAATTATGGTGCGGCAATAATATTTCAATCACAAGAAGTTTAATATTCATTTTTTAAGAAATCTACCTCCTTTTCTTATGGTTTTTTCCGGAGAGGTGAAGGAAGTGGAGCACCAATTGAAAAAACACAGACTTGGTGGCGGCAATTTGGAGGGGTTATGCCGTGATTTGCATCCAAGATCAGTGGGCCTCCTCCATTGGAGCGGTAATGGCAAGCCGTAGGTTCGACTGGAGGCCAGTCGCCCGTGCCAGCTCAACACGCTCTGGGAGCCATACAATCTTCTCCTCCGCTGCCTCTCAGACAAACGGCTAGTGCAATTGCAAACGGCGTACCACCCGATTGATATATTTGATTACTTATGAAGTTTTAGGTGGTTCATATGTAAATAGTAAATTTTAGGTGTTAGATAAGTTAATATCATAGTTTATGGTGGTCTGTATGTAAATACCCCAAATAAAGAAAAAAATCAAAAAAAAAAAAAATTATTGCTTTGTATTTAAATGGTGAAACTTAAAGGGTGAGAAATTAATCTTTTGAGATATGGTGTTTTGAGAGTAAAATTGTAATTCAATAATTAAAACAGATTTTTTGTTCGATAAGATGGTTAATTGCATTTAGAAGGCTAGCATAGAAGTCTAGGATAGTCTAAAAATTGTTTGCATTTAATTGAGGTTACTTGGTCGTGGATTGAGGATGTGTTTAATGTTAGCGAGGGATAGAAGTTTGCTTCAATGACTGAAAAAATGAAAATTGGTGAGGCATATAATGATCATCATGAAGCTATAAATCTTAAAATGATAGTTTTTTAGCAAATAAAACGCTACAAATTTTAATTGTTTATATAATGGAAGCATGCTTATGGCTCTACTTCCAATCACTTCAGATATTAAATTATCTTATTGCTATATCTATGATATTTTTATTTTGGCGGACTGGTTTATGGCATCGTGCTGTCCACTATCATCACTTATGCTTTCGAATGGAAGAGTGCTAGTGGCTGCACTTCTTATCCCACTAAACATTTGATTTCGATCATCTACAGTTTTTTATTAACAGTTCGGTTCATGGAATCAAATTATCCATATCATCATGTATGCTTTGTTCTAAAATTTTTCAGAGGACTATTAATGAACTTTGGCAACTAAAATGATGATGTCAGCCAGTTTTAATATCCGGACTATAGGAAATACATATCACATGAGACTTACCCTTGAACAGAGTTTTGGTAAGGGTAACTGTGTGCTGTTTTTCTATGTTTTTTAGTTTATGTAGATGCAATTTCCATGTTTTGATGTTGTTTGTTGCCAAAAGAATCTCTAAGAACAAGGAAAGTAAGGGGCACTTATATTCGCTTAGTGTTTCAGGCACACACTGAACATAGTATGCAATGCATTTTTCACATATGAACCCCAAAGGGAGGAAATATGCGGATTGATCTAGATGATTATCTTGAAGGAGAGTCAAATACAAATAGACATTGCTACGATGATGAGAATAATATTAGATTTTAATGATGATGATGAAAACATGTTCTCGGACTATGTTTGCGACATATGGATGGAGGTAGTTTTGACTTATCAAAGGTTGTGACGTGTAATGCCAAGAGTTGTGAGAGCGGGTCAGGGCTCCATTTTGGTAGTTAGTGTTGGTGTCAATGAGTTTGGTGCAAAATGACTGTAGATGCTCAAATTGACTGCAACTAGAAATAATAGGAAGCTGCAATATTGTATGTGGGGTTGATGATAACAAGCACAACATAGGATGTGATGTCACATGAACCTATGGTTAATAGATTGGGAAAGCTCTGACAACATGCAATGACACCAAATGCACAAAATATGGGAAAATGTTGGTAGTGGCAAAAAGCAGAAGCACAAAATATGGGAAAATGTTTGTCATAACAAACAAATAGAAAGTCAAAATTTTTTAATATAGTTTTGAACTTGCATATATTTTCTTCTAAATGAACAAAATTAGACGTCTTTTTTTAAACTTAGCCCGGGGTGATTTCGTATATCTAACATCATCATATACTCAAGTAACTATTTTTAATCTTGATAGGAATATTTTGAGAGGAAGAGGTTGCAAATATGTGGCCTGTAGTAGCTATAGGAGCTCAAAGAAGATCATGATCTTGGGGGATTATGAAGATGAAATGAGGAATGTGAAAATAACAGAGGTTCTTGACTACTCGTGATAGCATCCAATGACAGAGGCATCGATGACAAGTAGCAACTTTTAATGTGCGAGCAGTGGCAAGATGTTGGCTATAACAACTAAATAAAAGATCTACATTCTTATCTATAGTTTTGAACCTGCAGATCATTCGCTCTGAACGAACAAGTTTTGAAATCTATTTATTAAATTTGACCAAGGGTGATTTAGGCAAATTCAATATTATCGTTTAGTTAAATCAAAAGAGCAAGTGGCCATCTCTGTTATCATAGTATTTAGATCTCTATGAAACTACATTAGATTTTTCATACCCCCAACGTTATCGGTAATGATCAAAAGCGTCGCCATTTGCGCTTAACTCTAATCAATGATTAAAAAAAAATATTATGTTGCTTAAGGTGATGCCGTTATCACATTGTTGATGGTTTGGAGTTCTGTGCAATAGATTAATAAGAAAATTTTGAGCAGGATCACCACTTCATTGAAATTCAATGAAAATATAAATTGTTATTCACAAACAAATTCAAGTATTTATTTTTCGTCGTGAGGGAGATCTTTGATGGCTCGTAATGATGTGGAGTAATAGTTGTAGAGACCTTGAGAAGATTAGAATTTTTAGGATTTATGAAGATCAATAGAGCATGTTGACAACAACAGAGGTTTTTTATTTCTCTTGCTAGCCTCCATTACCATAGAAGGTTCCCCAAACCAAATGCAACTTGCAATAATAATAATTGTAGCATCATATTGTCAAAGTTTTGAGAAAAATAGGATCCTTCTTGATTGACACATCATATGTGGGGGCAATAATAACATGTGACATTAAATGCAATGTCACTGAAACGGTACTAGATTCAAGAAGTTTTGCAACAATATCAGATGCTACATACAGTGATTACAACTATCATCTAATTTAGTAGGAAATGACACGAGTTGAAGCATTGCATGCGGCACAATGTTGGCTATAGTAACTAAATAGAAGGTCCTAATTTTTATCTGTAGTTGTCATTATCACATTATTGATGATTTTGAAATCGTGCAATATCGATGTAAAAATTTTAAGGAGATTTACGACCTCCTCTTTGAAACTCAATGAAAACACGCCTCAATGCTTGTGAATAGTTTTAAGTAATTATTTTTTCTGCTTGAGAGGAATATTTGACACTAATGGGTCACATGGAGGCAGATTGTGGTAGTCACGTGCTCAAAGAAGATCATGATTTTTGGGATTTTTGAAGACCAAATGGGGAACATTGATAATAATAGAGGTTGTTCTTTGCCCTCGCTATCATCTATTGCCACGGGGAATTCTCCAAACTAAATGCAATAGGCAATGATAATAAGTTGCAACATCATGTGTGGTGGCAATGATAACAAGCTAGGATGTTGGATGTGTTGCCACTATAAATGATGATACTGAATTCAATAGACTCCGAAAACTAGCAATAACACTTGATGCAATGGACACTGATGGCAAGCAATAACATCTATTGTAACATGCACTGGCAAAAAGTAGAAGTACTGAATATGGCAGGAGCTTAACCATAACAACTAAATGGAAGGTCCAAATTCTTATCTGTAGTTTTGAACTTGCATGTGTTTCCCTCAAAATGAACAAAATTGAAAGTTTGTTTATGATAATCCATATTATCTTTTTGTCAATAGAAATAAAAAGTGGTTCTTTTTAATTAAATCATATAGATCTCTATGAATTTGGATTAGATTGATCATACCATTTAGTAGAGCTTGATGACATGTAATGTCCTGGGTCATTCATATTGATCAAAGGTGTTTGTTGATTTTGACTTTGATGAAAGATTAAAAATTACTATGACATTCACAGTGATATTGTTATCACGTTGATGGTTGGTCAGAGTTTTGTGCAACAAATCAATAAGAACATTTTGAGGAGACTGACAACCTCCTCATTGAGATTCCATGAAAACATTCACCAATGTTTGCATATAATTTCAAATAAGTTCTTTCATCTTGAGAGGAATTATTTGGGATTAATAATAACTCGCTAGGATGTGGAGCTTACTGTCTTATAAACTTAGTCAAAGTTGATTTATATATATTCGATATTATCTTATAGTTAGCTGAAATAGAAAGTGACTACATTTTTGTTGTATTATATAAACCTCTGTGAACTTGATTAGGTTGGTTATTCCCCTTTGTAGCTAGAGGACATGTTGGGTTGAAGGTTGTCGATATTGATCAAAGGTGTTGCCGTTAGCTTGGGCCTTGATCAATGATCAAACTATGCCTTCATTTTCATGGCGATGTCGTTATGAGATTGATTATGGTTTAGTCTTTTGATGAAATGTATTGATGAGAATTTTGAGGGTCACCACCTTCTCATTGAGATTCAAAAACACATACACTAATGGTCTAACTATTTTTTATTTTGAGAGGAATATTTTGAGGTTAATGGCTCACGAGGAGGAGTTTAGTGATCTTATGGGCTTAGTGTAGATCAATATCTTCTGGATTTATGGAGGCCAAATGAGGGCCCCTCAATAACAATGATTGCTATTGGTTGTGTTCAATGGGGTTTTTAGAGTGCTCGTATCATTCTTACTTCTGCCACATTTATAAGCAGTCTTCCAGTAGGAGGAAGGACCAACTTGGCCCATGCCAATTTGATTTAGGCATATTGAGGGTTCATGCGAGAACAAACTTCACTTGACTTTTTGGAGTTTGTATCGAGGTTAGTTGACCCAAGTTGAGTTCACTTGTGCACCACCCAATCAGTCAAATGAAGATGTATTGGCTTCTTTTTTTTTGTCTTACATGTGCCTTAACATTTACTTCATCAAAAAGGTGTTTTTATGATTCTGACATTTATATTGCTCTCAAATAGTTTCAACTTTCTCCCCCATTTGTTCTATGCTGCAACTCTTACTCATTGCATTTTCCGACTTCATTTTTGTTGATTTGCATGTCATCCTTTAAAGTACAGGACGGAAAAGATTATACTCAAGGAAAGCTATTGCCTCTCCATCATCCAGGGATGGATTTCTGTTTGAAATTTGTTCAACTTATTTTTATTTGCAAATTGCATCTCCCCTATATTAATCTGTTCCATTGATCTAACTTTTACCTTTAACATAAAGCTTGCAGGCTTTGATCTTTATGAAGAATCATTGCCATCGGGGGGTATTATTACCGGAATTGGGCCAGTTCAAGGTCGCCTGTGTATGTTTGTGGCAAATGACCCCACTGTGAAGGGGGGAACATACTATCCTATTACTGTAAAAAAACATTTGAGAGCTCAAGAAATTGCAACACAGTGCAAGCTTCCATGCATATATCTTGTTGATAGTGGAGGAGCTAATCTGCCAAGGCAAGCTGACGTCTTTCCCGACCGTGATAACTTTGGTAGAATTTTTTACAATCAGGCTAAAATGTCGGCTGAGGGTATCCCCCAGATTGCTCTAGTTTTAGGTTCGTGCACCGCTGGAGGTGCTTATATACCTGCAATGGCTGATGAGAGTGTTATTGTCAAAGGAAATGGGACTATTTTTTTAGCTGGCCCTCCACTTGTGAAGGTCAGTTATAATGCATGCTATTTTTTCAACTAAAATAAGAGTATATTGTCTGATGGAACTTCAAGATATTATTTTCCTGCAATATAGGTTTTCTGAAGGGTCAATTTTGATAGGCTGCTACAGGAGAAGAGGTCTCTGCTGAGGATCTGGGTGGTGCATCCATGCACTGCAAAATATCAGGAGTCGCGGATCATTTTGCACATGGTAGTACTCTTATCATTGAACTTATCATTTAATTATGGAGTGAAGTGCCAAAATAGTTCTGTGGCTGTTTTCATGAGGTCATTTTAGTCGGTGTCTATAAAATGTCAATTTAGTCCGTAGACACTATTGATATGGCTTGAAATTGTCTCCATAGACTAGTTCGGCCCCAATTTAACTACTCTAGGAACTAAATTAACACATTTATAGACTCTGGGACTTCCCCATATAAACAGTTAGGGGACTATTTTAGCTCGTACTCCTTTCATTGTATGTTAATTCAATTGGCATCCTTCTTCAACTTCTTGATTTTACTATTTTTTTTGTCTCTTCTGATTTTTTTTGTTAATTCATTTTCATGTCAATTTTATTATCCTAACTCTAGTTTAAAACTTTGCAGATGAACTTCATGGCCTGAGTATTGGAAGAAATATTTTAAAGAACTTACATATGGCAGGAAAAGCGATAAATACATCGCCATATATTTCTTCCAACTACAATGAACCATTGTACGATGCAAATGAGCTTCGATTAATTGCACCAACAGATCAAAAACAGCCATTTGATGTTAGATCCATAATTTCTCGTATTGCTGATGGTAGCGAGTTCGATGAATTCAAAAAATATTATGGCACTGTAAGAACCTCTATGGGCTGAATATTTGTGTAGGGAAAT